TTTTTACTACATTAGCCTCAAATGTTCCAACTGGACAAACCGCAGTTCCAGCATTAACTTGTACCAAGGTTTCTACAACAGGTTCTGACTCAACAGTTCTACGAGTAGGGGAGTTCATGTTTCTATCCAATGCCTGATTTTTCAACAAACTTGAATTTGGACTAACCATGTTGAAGTCTACTTTATCCAATGAGTCAAACCCTCGTAAAGTACTACCAAGACTATGACGAAGAACATTTGCAGGCTTGTACCGTAGTCTAGGATGTATTGATGAGATGGGAAAACTAAATTCTTTCTTACTAGCTCCAATAACAGAAGCAGAACTAATAAGTGGCTTGCTGTCTACTGAATTAGGTGTCTTACGTAACAGATCAATTTGACTTGCATTGTCAACAGGAACGACATCTTTAGTCTTGGATTCATTTTCATTAGGAAATGAGCGTTCAGGCTGGATAGGTGCACGAAGATACAACATCTTCTCAATAGGAAGAAGAGAGGAAGAGTTACTAGACTGTCGGGCAAGAACTCCAGGCTGCAAATACATGATGAAATAGAGTTATTAAAACACAAAGCAAGTATTACACAGTTAAATCAATTTTCAACAGGAAATAAGAAATCAGATTGAGACCTCTTTGTTCCCAGAAACTGGCATGATTCTAGAATCAGCTAAAGCTAAAGCTTTTCTTTTCATCTCGAGATGATATCAATCAAGTCGTAGAACACAGCTGAAACACTAGATCACACTCTACTAATAACACCCTGAAACCAGATATGCCAAAATATCAGTACAATACAAAAGACGAGAAACAGAACATTCAAATAGTGATCTCCCACCCCTACCACACACATGACCCCCCCACACCCATATATAGGAAGACAGTCAAATGGTCCAAAATCTAATGAATCTCTATAAAACTCCATATCAAAAATCCAATATTTGTCACTCATCAGACCCTATATCAGGTAACAACAAAACCAATATTTATCACTCATCAGATCCTATATTAGGTAAAAATCCAAAAATTCAAGAATAAAAAACAAAACTTTACCTGAAAAAAACATCAAAAACACCCCCACCCTCCAAAAAAGGAACAATCAAAAAGACTAGTTTACTATCAAGAACTAACAGGTTTCGACCATCAAACCACTTGACATAAATTACTGGAAAATCATAAGAATTCTGCAAAATAGAAAGAAAAATCCTACCTTTACTAGTAAATTCACTCGTTTCGGATTGAGGCACAGTTGATTGATTGAACATATATAGATCCAACCATCCAGTTCTTCTTTCTGCATAAAGGAAACAAAATTGATCACACACATGATATAAAAGAAGTCAAATAGTCTAAAATCTAAATCAATTTCCACAAAATCCTAAACTTCAAAATAAAAAAACAAAACTTTACCTGAAAAGAAACATCAAAAACACACCAAAAATAGGAACAATTAAATAGCACACAGATATATATATATGTAGGAAACAAATGAGAACCTTTTTCTCTTTTCTTAGACAGCAAAAAGAGTATTGAATGAGTGAAAAAACTTTACCTCTTGAATTTTGTAGTGTGGTTTCCTTTTAGTATAATGTGGGATAATTTTTCTTACATATATATATATAAATCCTAGTTAGGGTTTGTAGAAAATCTGAAAGAGATACTTACCAAATTTGTCATTGATCATTAGTTTTAAGGTTAGCTTGTTAGTCTTTTCTAGCAATGATTGTTTAGTTATGGTAACAATTGAATGAAACAACAACAAATATTAATTTTATTTTGTCTATGATGCTTCTCATTGAATTCTTCCCTCTAGATATCTAATAAGGTGTGTAAGAAAGAATAGACATCAATATCTTTTCGGCCTATCCCTAGCACTCTGCCCCTTTCACCTCCTCACTGGGCGTCAGCGTCCCTTGTCTGCACATGTCCAAACCATCTAAGTCTCACTTCCCTCATCTTGTCCCCTATAGAGAGGTCACTCCCACCTTCTCCCGGATGACCTCATTCCTAATCTTGTCACTCCTAGTATGCCCACACATCCATATATATCAACAATATCCTTATATCTGCAATATGCCGAACATGTGAGTTCTTGATTGGCCAACACTCTACTCCATACAACAAGGACGGTCTAAGCATCACTCTGTAGAACTTACATTTAAGTTTAGGTGATACCTTCTTAACACACAAGACTCCAGAGGCAAACCTCCATTTCATCAATGTTGTCCCAATGCGATATATGACATCATCTCCAATGTCAAACTTATTATATACCAATATTACTTGTCATTCTAATAAAGAATTTATGATGTTAACAAAGAGTAAAAGAATTTGGAAGAAAATATTTCTTACAAATTCATTATCAAGTTAATTTTATGAAAATCAGAAAAGAAAGTGATTTTTCGAGTGATAGTTATTTTTAGGGTTAGTCTACATTTTCTGTTTAGCAATGATCGTTTAATTAGTTCATTCCACAATCTGCATGAAACCAACAATGACGGGATACAATGACAAATTCTCAATTTCATCTTATTTAAGATATTTCCGTTCAAATTCATTCATTCAGATACTAATAAGGTGAACGATAAGGATATATCAAACTTATAATATATGAATATTCTTATCATTCTATTAAAAAATTTATAGTGTTAACAAACATACATATATAGAGAATCTGGAAGAGATTGCTCACAAATTTATCACCGAAGATTAATTTTACATAGAAGGAAGCGATT